TGATAAGCCCTGATTGTATATTCCACCGAAGTACAAACTATATGCCAAGTTGACATGAAATAAAAAAGAAGTTCCTTTGCATGGGACTGTATCTGTTTTCTATGAAACCTAAAAATAAATTTGTTGCTAATTTAATATTTTGAGGGCAATTACTAAGATAACTGCAAAGTCCAGCAGCCACCTATTATGCTATTTAGCTACTATAAATGTAACAATTACAAACTGGAAGTTAATCATGTTATGAACATTAACTATTCAGCAAAGACAAAAATTTCCATACATATTCCTCAGAAATATTGGCATACCAAGTCATGTGAGGACTCCTTTAATTCTTTCAGCACAGAACCAGAGTCGGATCTAATAGGACAGTTGAAAACCTGAAAAAAAAAAGTAATGACATTAAATCTCCAATACATTATTCAGCTGAAAAAAAATCTAACTATATCAACTGAAATTTTGACCATACCGCAAAACCAGCAAAAGTCAAACCGCTCTCCACCAGATCCCTGTCCAAACTTCTCGCTTCACTGACCTGTTGAAGAAATTTCAGATGAGAGAGAAAAAAGAAGACTTGCTAGAAGTCAACATTTATCCACATGGAAAACATATTCCTGTTGATGTGCACTGGTTCAAAGATCAACTGAAATTTTGACCATACCGCAAAACCAGCAAAAGTCAAACCGCTCTCCACCAGATCCCTGTCCAAACTTCTCGCTTCACTGACCTGTTGAAGAAATTTCAGATGAGAGAGAAAAAAGAAGACTTGCTAGAAGTCAACATTTATCCACATGGAAAACATATTCCTGTTGATGTGCACTGGTTCAAAGAATAATGCTAAGATAATTATGGGACGATCTCGGGATCCAGAAGACAATTAAAATTTTAACTCCACAAGAGAAAGGTTTTGTACAAAAAAAGATAGAACCCCTTTAGGAAATCAAGCACATATACCATAAAGTCAAGTTTAAGTTGGCGGTAAACTTTCTTTATTCAATTACCAATAGCAGAACTAGTAGATTTTACACCAAACAAAAGATGGGGTGAAATTAAACATAACAAGCATACTCATACAAGCTTCACAAACGCAAGTATTCATACTACATAGATTCAAATTCAAATATAAGATTATTATCCAAATGCTTCCAACTAATTTAGATTTTCCTATTGAAAATATCATACAGATGAATGTATCGAATGAAGTTTTTCTTCTAGGTCGCGTATTTATATCATAATATGATATAAAGATTTTTGTAATTAGATAAATGCTAAAATGCTTATTACTTCTAAAAATAGTAAAAATACCACTGGTGAATGCCTAGAGATCTCAAGTTGTATGATTATTTATATATGTATGTTTTTATGTTTTAGGGAGGAGACTATGACGAACCGTGCGGATCGCAGAAAATTTCCCTTTTTGAAGGGGCTGGGGGGGGGGGGGGGGGCACAAGTAGCTATTTATCTAAAAATAAAAATATAATATTATGAAACCCATGATTAAAACAGGTGAGATGATTAAAGCCATGATAATGGTGAGTTTGAATTGAATTTTAGAGTGCCATATGTTAGTGTTATCTAAATTATTGATTGCGACAAAATTTTAATTTTCACTAACAATAGGCAACAGATTGATAAAAAGGTAGATAGTAGAAAGTTTTGCACTTATTTTTGAATAACTTGCTCAATAATTGGTTCGCTCATTTCTACCTGAAAACATTGTTCTCTAGTGAACATACACTTGGCAAATCAGCAAAATAAATCCCTTCTCAACTACTATTCTGTAACTCTAACTAATATTAAGGAGTGTGTTCATAGCAGAAATTCAAGAAACACATCAATATGCAAATTTGTAACCAAATAAAACAATAGTTACTATTTTAACTGAAAATTTTGATCGGAAGTTTTTTAACTAAAGGGTTTGGATTTTTTTTTAGTAGTAGTTATGGGTTTTTGGGTGTTAGTTGCTAATGGGCTAATTGTTTGGGGATCGCTCCATTTGAACTGATCATTTGAATACTCAACTGGGTTGCAAATTAAAAATAGGCTAAATGCAATGGGCTACTAAGTTGTTCAGTGGATATATAACTAAGATTGGGGTGCTAAATTTTATGAACTTTTTTTTTGGTGGGGTGGGGGGAACACACCTCAGCATATGCATCCGCCACAGTGATGAACAGTAGATATCACCCATAAAATGAATCATATGGGTTGCTACAGGCCTTCACTACATGCAGGTTTCATAAGGTGTCAGTTCAGGATCTGGTTTCTCATATATGTATACCAAGATTTGGGAAAAAATGGTCCAGTAATTCAACGCAAAGTTGAGCCTGACTTTGAACCACCCAATTATTCAAACTTCTTTTTTTGGGAAACAATAAGGATAGTTTAAAGCCATTGAGACAACTTTTTGGATTCTACAATATGAGCAAAGTAGGACAAAGGTGGGTAATATTAAAGAGTTCCTATAGTATTGCAGAAATCTATGCCGTAGGATAGCTCAACAAAGGATGCAATCATGTAGTCTAGAGCACATCCATATACTTGGACGCTAAGGTACTTGATGCTTATTGTGCACTAACTAAAATTAAAAACATGATGTATCGAGGAGGTATCAAAAGTTAATGATCGCAATTTCCCTTCAATTTATAGATATATTTAGACAAAATTTCCACTTTCATGATTGCTTTCTGTGTCTTAAAATTATATTGTGCAATGTACAATTACAATGTTCTAGTTCAACAGCTTCCTAATTTTCCCATATTTATTGCCCAAGGTAATTCTATTCATAAATATGCAGTATAAAACTTTCAGGATTTATTGTATATGGAATCCTGGATTGGATTGACTCTACATCCCCACATTTGTATCAGTGCAACAGTCATAACATGAAACCGTAACTCTAAATTTTCTAGTATGAATCATGAAGGAAAATCAACAAAGGATATAGCTGAAGACAAAAAATTTCCCTGGTGTCAGCCATTTCCCACACTTTCCTCCACAATTCAGCAAGTGGTTATGATATAGATAATCAATCAAGGATATGATCATATCCTTCTTTACAACATAAGAGAATTTGCAGATATTCAAGCCTTCTAGCAACATGTAAACTGATATCTTCCAATACGAGGTAAAATTTGACCTTATATTAGGACAAAACATAGCTGAAATGGCATTTATAGTTATCTCACTAAGAGAATTCACTAACTTCAGGGAGAATATAATAACTTATATTTATATGCTCAGAAATACACTCCTCCAAATCCTCTATAGATTATGACGCTATGTCCTTTGTTCTTTGATATACACTTCTCTTAGCAGCCTCTTCCCGTTTGCATAAAAAAAAGTCCCATTTTTATGATAGAAAAAGGATACAGGAATCAGATAGTTCAACATTGACTGATTACGTAGAAAAAAGAAGAAATATGTGAGCAGCACTATATTTTGAAAAGATGATATGTGAGCATCACTCCATTTTAATTTGAAAAGATGCCATATTCATTTATGGAAAGGGCCACTATAATGCTGAGAAATGCAGTAGACTACAGATAAAAGAAGCCATTTAGTAAATATGAACTATAGTTTAGAAATAGTAAAATATAAAGGAAACTTACAGCCATTTCTGGAAGTTTCTTGTATGCAAGAGCCAGAACCCGAGAACCTTGCCGTGTATATTTCTTGTAAGTCTCCACATAATTTGAAGGCAAATCAACAAGCCTCTCTTGAATAGTTTCAGGTGCACCCTGTATTTATGAAGTAATTGTAGCAATAAGAAAAACACTAAAGAATAACACTAAATTAACTAGTCTATATTTAACTAATTGACATCAAACTTCAACAAATTTAAAAAATGGAAAAGAAAGGAAACACTAAATGTAGTAGTTTCATACACTGGCAAGGTACTAGTAATCAACCAGTTCACATATGAACTAATGTTACAGATGCCACTTACATGGATAATTGAATACTTATCTTTGAATCTTCCCATTCAAAAAACAATTTAAACTTAGATAAACAGCATTGACCTCTGCTTAAAGATCAAAGGGAACTAAAAAGAATAGCTGGCAAACTATCATGTAAAAATGAGCATCATTAATAATGAAGTTTATGAGCACTGTTATAAAAAACGGTAAATAGCCCCACAATAGCGGCACTAATAGCGTTAGCGGTCCCTTTCCGCTACGCTATCGCCCAATAGCAGTGATATATTGCGAAATATGCGTTTTCCGTTCGCAAAAGCGGTCAATAGCGCGCCCTAACGGTAAACAGCAGGTGATTGCGTGCAAAACCCGCTTTTTGACTGCTATTTAAAAGCAGTTTGGGTTTATTTTTTTAAAATTAAACCCGACCTTTAACCACTGCATTCGACCGCCTCCTGCGATTTTCAGCGTGCTCCCGCCACCTCTCATATCCTCTGGCACCTAACTCAGCACTTCCTCTCATCTCCTTCACTGTGAGCTCCTCCTAGGACAGTCCTCTCACCGCTCAGCTCATCTTCTCGAAGACGACGACTCTTTGACTTCTCCTCCAGCCGTCTTTGGTATTATGTGACGATTACATGTCTATTTCATGTTTAGGATCTCTTTAAATCATCAAATATGCACTTTTAGTTTTTCTAGATTTTTCTTTAATTTTTTTTTTAGTATTTATACATATCTAAATGACACCGCTATTTGATTTTGCGCTTTTTACCGCTATTTTGCCGCAATAGCCCCAAATTGCCTTAGCATGCCTCACCGCTACGCGACGCTATCCGCTATCGATAACCTTGTTTATGAGTTCAAATCACTGTCCTCATCAGCAAAACACACTGAAATGCATCTTGCCGTTTTGGGTTTCCAACAGTTTTACTAACAGCTATTTATGGGATCGCAACAATAACAGGGGGGAACAGGAAATTTACTAACTGCAGTTTACGGGTTTGCAACAAAGAAAGGCAAAAAAGGAAAAACTAAGGAAGAACAAAGAGAGAAAGAAAGAAAACTATTGTCAAGCTTAAATCAAAATTTATAGTTAATACCACCACCAACCTTCACAAAAGCCAAAAATTCTTCCTGAACACGAACAACCACAGCCATTCTCTTTAGGTGTGAGGCAAAGTGGTGCCTTTGAACAATCTGCACAGCATGACCACCCGGCCTGTAATGCAGTTAAAGAATAGTATGAGAACAGAGTTATTAAGAGGAGATAAATCATAGAGAACTAAAAAAAATGAAGAACTAGTTTTCAAAAAAATAAGCTAAAAATACTTCTAATGATGTATATGCTGCCCACTACATTTACCACTTGTGCAAGAATGCATCATTATAAACAAAGTACACATTATATACTTATTGCTAGAAATATGAGGAAATATTTTAAGTGTTTGCAAGGTGTATGGGTATTATGAAGGAAAATGCATCAGAATATCTTTTCTCTATTATCAGAATTCAGAAAATTTTAGTTTGTAACCACTTGATGTGTGGGTAATATAAATTCAACATACATGACTTCTCATAAATAAACATTTTAATACATATAGATCAAGTTGAACTAAGTGAACCATCCAATTTCATTGCATAATACATTTTTTGTTAGTAGTCGTTAGTAGGCATAACTAGGTATGCCTTGCAAGTGTTAGAAGTCGCTCTTATACATGTATAATATATCTGTACATGCATGCATGCATACATATATGCATAAATACATAGCGGCTTTAATACTCCTACGGCATAAATAGCTCGGCCATGCCCACCTCCAACTCTATGTTATATGCAAAAAAAAAGGAAGAAGAACAATTCACTCCGTTCATTTTACATGTCTTGACCGGTCAAGAAACAAAAAGTTAGGACTCCAGCTCTAACTACTTATGCATCAAGTGGGTAAAAAATTAAACAGGTGTACAATACCAGTAAAGGGACAATGGGACATATGGGTTAGAAGTTTCAAAACATCAATATTTTCATTTGTAGCTGTTTTAAGGTATGCCGATCGCAATGAATGAAATGAATCGTCCATTGAAATGGCCAAAGTCATGCATCAAGAGGTCAATTTAATTATATTACTCAAAAATCATTACTTTTTGCAATCATTTGATGCAAGCGGAATATGAGCTCAACATACATGATTTTTCATTGATAGACATTTTAAGACATGCAAATCTAGTCGAATGGAGCAGAACATCAAATTTCATTGCAGAATACACATTTTTTAGTTCGCATAACTCAGATACTGATGCCATAGGAGCATTAAAGCCGCTACAT